TATTTTTCTTAGATGCTCATGCACTCAGTGACACCCCGGTTTTGGGTTGGTTGTATTTATTCTTGGAATTTCTTATGTTTCAAACAGTTCTTTAACTGTTAAAAGCTTCCGTAAATATTTTCAAACTTATTATTATCGTGTTGATTGTTGAGTTGAGGCTGGCATTTCACGATAGGCGCCATCACGGCTGGTCGGGTTTTGGGTCGTGATAAGTTGGTATCATAGCCTAGGTTACATAGGTCTCACGAGTCATGAGCGGGTTTAGTAGAGTCTCCCGGATTAGTACGGAGATGTCTGTACTTATATTCGAGAGGCTGCAAAACCTTTAGGAAATAAACTTCACATTCTTGAATTCCTATTGTGCGACATTGATTCAGCTTGAAGCTTAACTCCTTGAATTCCTTCCACTCATTCGTGTGCGCGCATGAGCGCTCGGTATCAGCTGTGCATCGACGGCTTGTGATTCCCTGATCGAAGGGCGAGATGTGATTTCTGTGTGTTGATGTTGGGCCAGTCTAGAGGACTTGAGGCCGAGTTTTGCCTATAGCTTGAGCACTGAGGCGTTGATTGAGTGAGCACGTGCTTCTGGATTTATTGTTCGGTAGTGTCCCTATTGGTGGAAGTGATGACTGGATGGCTATGTGATGAGTATGATGTGACTGCGAGATGTGTTCATATGATTTGAATGTGATGAGAAGGGTCTGCTTGAGGATAGAAAGAACTATTTGGTGCTTGATTTCCATCTTGATTTGATGTATAGCCCCGAGTTATGGGTGTGTGAAGGATCTATTCATGTTGTCTAGTTGGGGAATGGAGTAGATTTCATGTCACGATATGAGTTCATACTCAAGAAGATTAAGTGATTGCATGATGTTTATGACGGTGGAAGGGTATGAAGAGATGTCAGATTGAGGCAAAGCATGTGAGTTATCTCCTGCGGGGTGTTCTGAGGTTTGTGTGACCCCTATGTTTTTGGTTGGGGGTCCTCTTTACCAGTTAAATATATGTGTGTTGTTGCAATTTGAGCTTGGGTCACTTTTGAGAGTGGGCTTGTCTATTACAAGGATGAATGTTAGATTTGCAGATGATTTGAAGTACTAGATGGCTGTGTTGCACGAGCTTATGAAGGATTTAGTTTAATCTCACCATGGTATTATGGCAGTAGTAGAGTATGGGCATTGTGAGTTCTGTGTGTTTTGACCTATGGCTTTGAGCCAAGTAGGGGAGTCTGCTATTGATTAGTTGATTGCACGGTTATGCGTTGTATTGGTTTCAGTTTGAGGTATATTAGTGAATCAGTTGTGGCTTGCAGGGGTTGAGATCGAGGATGGCTCGAGTAAAGAAAATTTTAATAAAGGTTATGTTATGCTTTATGGGTGTATAAGAATCACGAAATGACTTGAGTTGCTATTGGTGAAGGATGTACGGTGCATAGAGCAGGAGTTTATTTGGTTGCATTAAGGTGGGGTTACTTCCATAGGTGTTGCTGTTCTAATGGGGCACAGGTCGTTCAGTTCATTTGATTAGTCTAATTGAAACCTGAGTAGAGTGGATGACTGCCGAGAATGGTTTTGAAGGATTCAAAATTTACATGTAGTAATTGGAGATCTTCAGGGTGTATATTTGGCTAGGAACGTGGGCTTACATTCGCGGGTGTCAAGACTTGTGGCATTTCTATATCAATTATGGGATTCTACATATCAGTATGAGGAAGGTGAAGGTAATGTCTTTGGATTCGCAGGAAGTCTCTTCATGGTAGGTATTTTGAATGTGGTGCTTTTGGGGATATTTAAGAGAGTATTCAGCGACTTATGAGCCTTAGACGGTGTGGTTTTATGCTTGGGTCTCGTGTGGTGAGTCTGGGTTGAGGATTTGCGGTATTATGGCAAGGAGAAGTATCAACTTGAAGGTAATTTAGAAGGAACTTGGATAAATAGGACAGCTTGGTAGTAGGTCGGATCGGCATGGTAAGGGATATGATTAGTTCTTTGGGTGCCTACGAGGTAATGAGTTTCTACAGGTGTCTCGTGGCAATGCTTTTGGGTTTTGGTGACCTGCGTTGCTCGTCAAGCAACAAGAAGTTGATGTTCTTCATAAAGTTCTCTTGCTAAGGCTGCGGAAAAAAAATGGTGATAGAGAACGGAGCTCACGGTGCTAATTGCACGAAGCTTCTTGATTCTACAAGAATCAGTGCCAATTGCACGAAGCTTCTTGATGCTACAGGGATCGGTGCCAATTGCACGAAGCTCCCAATTCAATAGCAAGTTTCGGTGTCAATGGCATGTCGACTTCCCTGCATCGGTAGATTTTTATTGTGCTTGCAAAGAATTAAATGGAACATAGAATCCACAATATCATGAAGCATAAGCGCTGGGTTTTTTTTGGAATGTTTCCATAATCTTCCAAGTCACCTAATTCGCGGTTCGTCATGTCTTCACTCATGGCTCGTCAGATTCATCTATGTGTAGCAGAAACTGGACAAGGCTGGGAGTTGAGTATGACAACGCCGCTGCAGCAAAGAGCTATCCACCGTGTAAGAGAAGCCAGCACCCCAATAGAATTTGATATCAGGTAGAAGTAAATCCAAGGCAATACTAATTCTTTGCTACTGCTGATATAATTATGCTTTCACCAAAGGAGAGTTGACGTCAACTGTTAACGGCATGACCCATGTTTCGTACCCTCTTGAGACGTTGAAAAGTCTTGCATAATTTATCATAACTTGAGTTGCTTTTATAGGGGGGTGATTAGGTTAATCATTCAGAGACCTAGATGGAGTTAGCCTGGTGAAGTTCCTATGAGATTTCTATTCAATTGTCAACTTCATATCTAAGGAATGGTCTCATTGTCCACGTGGGTCTCTTGGATAATTTCAATACCAAGGATTGTATGCTGGACCAAAGAAAGTTAGTGGATTAAATGAAATGGGCTCGTAACTAGATTGCTGGCAATACCATGTCGGTTGTATAAACTTGCACAAAGGATCAATTACAGTTAAAGAATTATATTGGTCCGCAACCTAAAGGCCAAGTATTTTTACGACATGTGCAATTTAATTCCAGTGAGAAATGGAGTCAATGGCTCTATCAGTACTTCAAATCTCCCTTTTTTTATCGTTTATTAAGCCTACACTTCAACGAGCTTTGAAGTAGGGGGCATCTGTAGACGTATAAAATTATCGAATCTAATTCATACAAAATCTGGATTGAATTCAATTGGATTAAATAATTAATATGGACTTTACAAATTAAATTAGTTCCATTTTATTATTTTTAAGCTCAAGGTCCATTTCATCTTAAGGCCCAGACTCATGCCATGTGTCAAGTGACATGGCATATCCAGTCAAACTCAAAGCCAATAAGATGACGCCACGTGTGAAATAATGTGGCAATCCCAGTCTAAAACAGTGACCAATCAAGAGTTGCCAAGTGTCTAAAATGATATGTCTTGGCCAATCACAAGCAAGCTTATCACATAGCTTATGTGATAAGTTTGATGACTCACATGAGCTAGTCAGAATCAAGCAAGAGAGTTCATATATAACTGGACTGTCCATCCCCTACAACTATAAATAGAGGGGTTACATAACTCTCTAGGGAGATTCAGAGTTGGAGAAGAGCATTCCGCAATTGGTGAAGGCATCCACAAACAAAGAGATCAATTATCAAGTGCATAGTTCTTCTACAAAGGAGTGGTCAACGGAATTCTTCCCAGAGATCAACCCGAAACAACAAAGTACTGCTTGACGTTCTTGGCGATTAAATACATCATAAGGAGGTCCACATCGTCCTACATTCGAGAAAGACGCTTCTCAAGCCCTCGAATCACGGAGAATTTCATAGAGGAGAATCAAGGGATACAAAGAATTGTACTCACAAATATTCATCAATAAAATCTCTTTTTCTTCATCTTATTTTTGTTGTAGTTTATTGTTTGTACTACAAAAAATTTATTGCGAACACATACATAGTTGTATTCTTCAAAATCTCGGCTTCGAACTTTACGTAATTACGTCAATGTCGACGACTCCAAGCTATTTCCAACAAGATTGAGCAACACTTAAATTGATTTTCAACACAAACATTTGAGTTTAATTGAAATCAGATGAAGCTTCAATTTGACAATGGTGGAACCATATCTTTTTTCTCAAATTTGGCTTGCCAGTAGAGAATATCCAATAAAATCATTTAGATTTTCGAATTTCATTTAATGATAGTCAACTGAGTGCTCTGTGTGCAAAGATAGATGAATTGGATGGAGGGAAAATTATGAAGTTTGTGAGGGATATTTTTATTTTACCAAAATTGAGAACTAAAATCAAGGGATACAATAGTTGGCTTAGATTGCTGCAAGGGTGAAAGATCCGGAGAGAAAAGGGGAAAGATGAGAGAAAAAATATAACTAGGTCCCTTGACTGAAGGCACTAATAATGGATGAGAGCCTTTTTAGGTGGAATGTATATATTTTGTAGCTAAAACGTGTTTAGGTCGGGTAAATACAAAAACTTGGACATTTCATAATAAGGTTTCAAATAGTGTATAGGAATGAAAAAATCCCTATAAAAAATGGGTGCGTGAATGACTAATTTCGTAAAATTTAAGAACAAATGAGATTGTTACACAAATAGCCGGCCAGATTCACTGTTTACTTTTTCTAGTCGGTATACATAAAGTATACATATATTATACATAAAATATGTTTATTACGCATCTGTCGGCTATTTTTATTTTAAAAGATTAAAACAACAACAATAATAACGATTCAGTAAAATCTCACTAGTGGGTCCCCAAGAAGTTCGTGTGTACGCAAACCTTACCCCTACCTTGAGAGAGCAGATAGATTGTTTCCGAAAAACCCTTGGCTCAAGAAAACGAGAAGTAATAATATATCAGTATTATCAACACAAACCAAAGCAATAATAACATCAACATAAAAGCCAGAAAATAGATAAAACAATAACAATAACCACTAAATAGACCCGGCACATTAATTTGGGTTAATTAAATTTGGCATTTCCCCCCAAATGGACAGCCCTCTCAGTAATCACTCCATAATTTTAGGGTTTCTCTTTCCCCTTCATTTGAAGAAACCTCTTTCCGATGAACCCAAAAAAGTACAAAAAGCACCCAAAGTACGCATAAGGCTATTTGATACTCCTTTTTGGATTTTCCAAATTCATAATCTCAAGTCTTGGTAAGCTGAAAATCTGCTACCTCGTCTTTTGTTTTCTAAAAATCATTTCTTTCCATTTTGGATGATGTTGGTATTGTTGGTTTTCTTGGGTATGAACATCATTTCAGTAAGTCAAGAAAAGTAGCTTTCTTTTGGTATATTTTCTTAAGTTTGAGAAGCAATTGATGTTTCTGTATTGAATTCAGTTGTAGTTTCTGTTATATACATTGTTGATTCTCAGTTTAGTTGTAATTTATATATGTATAGCTTACCTAGCGGGTTGAGTTAGTTGCCATCACGACTTAGTGGGATTTTGGGTGGAGACACTTTTGGCTTTAGTACAATGAGGGAACTGGAAAAAAAAAAGAATCTTTATTATTTTTAAAAAAAAAAATAAAGAAGAAGAAGTAATGACAGCTAGAGAGTTGATTTTTCTCTTAATTTAGTTGACGTAAACATTTTGGATTGGTTTGAAATTGGTCCTTGATGTAAATTATTTGAAATGTTTCCTATGTATAAATGGAAGCAAATAACTCAGTATGTGATTTTTTTTCAGTCCCGTATTACTTGTGCTGAACATGTAAACTAAATCAAAGTATTTGCTACTTAGTATAATTTTCATTAATCTCCATCATACCACTTTTGCAATAGGTTAATGTATTTTCTTATTATGAGCAGAGGCGGATCAAGTATTTGAACTTTGTGGGTTTAGATTCGAAATTCTACTGCATCGCACCTAATTTAATGGGTTCAAAATATAATATTTGTACATATTTAATGAACTTTTAGGTAAATATACAGGGTCTGAGACATGAACCATAGCTTCTATACTAGATACGCCCCTGATTATGAAAAGGGTTCAATCGGCAACTTACATACATCCTATAAAAGATGGAACTTGGTAGGTTCAGCCCTTAAAGTTCTCAGCCCTTAAAGTTCTTAGCACTGAACTTATTGTACTTTTGAAATTATGGATTCAGAATATACCATTTTAGTGTTTTTCACATATATATTCATGTTTCATGTAAAAATTACCGGGTTCGGTTGAACTTGGAGCTAATAAGCTACATCTGCTACTGGTGGTGTCGAGTGACCACAAGAAAAATCAATTTTGCTAGTTAAAAAGGGACTCTTTGGTTAGAGGAAGCTTGTTCTACAATTGGTGTTCTGCCATCAGTTACTATTTAAATCAAATCGTTAGAGTATGATAACTTAAGAAACTTTGCCTTCTACAATCATGTTGTGATAACTTAGTAGTATAAGGTGGGGCAGGATTTACTTGCCAAGCAAGCTTAGCTGATGCAAATTGTGAGTATAAAACTACTAAGCTCGACTAGGCTATGCATATTTTAGTAATGGAGGTATTAGTTTGATGTCCAATCTAGCCAAAGCTGTGAAATAGCAACTAAGCTGATTTTGTGAGTGAATGTTGCCGAATGTTGGATAATAGTTTTTCTCATTATCTTGTAGATGTAGATGTCAGTCGATAAAAGGGATTCTTGCTGTAGATTCAAGGATGTTATTGGAGAGAGATAAGTGGTTTCAATTTGATGCAGCCATTCTTTTCATCTTACTGTTTTAGCATGTTGGTTAACAATGTGAATAGCTGTTATGTCATGTAGTTTTACTCTGTCCAGATAGTTATGCAATTTCTTACCTTCGTATTATTGTTTAGTTTCTGCAGGTTCTTACTGGCAATTAGTGTTATATGGTGCATAAGAAGGGCAAGAATCATAGTTGTCGAATTGTACCTCCCGATATACTTAGCTATCTTCCAGAGAATGTAATAGATGCCATTGTAATACATTTGCCTTTACGAGATGCTGTTAGGACAAGCATCTTATCGAGGAAATGGAGGTATACTTGGTGCAGACTTCAAAAGTTGACACTTGATCAAGCATTTTGGAAAACGACGAATAACTTAACATCCCCTACAATTAGATTTACAGACATCATGTACTACCTTTTGACCCTCCATGTAGGACCACTTACTAAGTTTACCCTCTCCATTGCTGATCTGAGAAACTGTCCTAAAATTGATAACTTGATATGTTTTCTCTCTAGGAATGGCGTTCAGCATCTTGTTCTTCAATTTCCGAAGGATAACCTATACAAATTGCCTTCTTCATTTTTCACATGTTTTCAGATAAGACACCTGAGTCTCCATAAATGTTTAATAAATCCTCCACCTGCTTTCAAAGGATTTGATAAGTTAGTTGCCCTCGAACTTTGTGAAGTCACAATTTCTTCCAAATTTCTTGTAAGTTTAATCTCTTACAGCCCGTTGCTCGAGCAGCTTGTGCTGCAATCAAGTATCTCCGGTCACATTCAAATTAAAGCTCCCAAGTTGATATCCTTTGACTTCACAGGCAGTTTAAAATTAATTTCCTTAATGGATGTCCCTCTTCTTGCACAACTTTCACTTGTAGATATAGATGAGGGAGGAAGCTGTGATATTGCCAAGTTTCTTGAGTCTTCTCCTGGTCTCGAGCATCTCCACTTGAATTGTTATAGTGTCCAGGTAATTGTTGCGTCTTGACTCATTGTAGTTTATTTTCATGGCGCTATTTTTTGGGCTTTGAGACATTCTGATTTTTGGCGTTGTGTTTTTAGTTCTTAGCAAGCAAAATACCAAAACAGCTCCTCTCTCCTCTTAACTGTCTTAAACGTCTCTACCTATCTGACATATGTCTAGATGACATAGACGAGGCTTCATGTGTTCTTCGCTTGATAAGAAGCTTCCCATATTTACAGGACATCGAAATTCAGGTTCAACTTTTTTCTTCTCTCTTCTCTATGCTCTTTCTGCATGTAATTGCTACAGTTTCTTATACACTTATTTCATAATCATTAATCCTCAATTTTAGCTCAAAGGGACGAACGTTTGTTATTTTATAGTTGCATGATTCAGCTTCTGGGTATGATGATGTTATGGAGGAGATTGCCGGTCTAGAATCTCGTGAAGTTGAAAGCTTCTCAGATGTGACATTGAATCACCTAAGATCTGTTAAGCTTACAGGTATAATAGGCTTAACTCCCGAAATGGAATTTATCCAGCTTCTCTTAGCCAAGTCTCCAATGCTCATCAGAATGCTAATCGAGCCCGGGGTAGGACATAATTCTCCTGAAACAAGACTCAAGGTACTCGCAGAGATAACAAAGTTTCGTCGGGCATCATCTAAAGCAGAAGTTGTTTATAAAGTTGCATAGATTTCTATCCAGATTAGGATCCTGTTTATCTCCACTTGTCTATTTGCAAGACTATGATCTTTGGCTAAAGAATTTTGGAAGATTAAGGTGGACAGACAGAATTGAATGCAGTTATACGGTTGTGCTGTGGCTGTGTTTCTATCAAACCAAAAGAAAAAGCTGTGTTTTGCCTTGTCTTACAACTTGTTTGGATGATTGTTAAGTATTGTTTTATAATGTATCATATGATATTGTATTGTATTGTATTGTACTGTATCGTTTTGATGTATATAATGTTTGGATATATTGTATTGTTTGCCATCGTTTCATGATATCACGCAGCAACAATAGGAAGGATAATATTATAAAGAAAGTAACGCATGAGGTAGAATTATTATATAAAAAGGTAGGGTAAAGGATAAAATAAGATTATTTAGTAATAAGGAAGGGCAAGATGAGAGGAGAAAATAAGGTAAAGATGTGATCAGACCAAAACGATGCTTTAAATAAGTTTTTAAAGCATTTTTTTTGTAAAAACTGGAAAATAATTGTAAAAACAGAAAAAAAATATTTTTAATAAAATATTTTCGTTTTTTAAAAACTGAAAAAAATATTTTCAACAAAATATTTTTGTTTTTGAAAAATTATTTTGTTTCAGTTTTTTTTAAAAAAACAAAAATATTTTTTCTTTAAAACAAAAACTGAAAAACGAAATGCTTTAAAAAAACTGAAAAAACTGAAAAAATATATTTTTCAAAAACGAAAATATTTTGTTGAAAATATTTATTCAGTTTTTAAAAAACGAAAATATTTTATAAAAAACACTTTTTTTTTGTTTTTACAAATTTTTTTTCAGTTTTTACAAAAAATATGCTTTAAAAAAACTAAAAAAACTGAAAAAATATATATATTTTTGTAAAAACTGAATTGTTTTTTGTTACTGAAAAAAATAAATAAGAAGATTTTACTAAATTAGTGGACTATTGGTGCATTAGTTTAAAAAAAACGAAAATATTTTGCAAAATAATTTTTTTAAGTTTTACAAAAAGAATAATAATAATTTTAATTTACCATTGACCTAACGGTCAAAGGGCATAAGTGAACCAAAAATGTGGATGGAGGGGTATTTTTAGCCCAATAGGTGGGTGAAGGGTATTTTTAAACCTTTTTCAATAGTTTAGGGACATTTTGAACCCTTTTCCGTTGAAACTATCTGAGGGGTCGTCTCACGGGTCGTTTGGTTCGGAAACAAGTTATTAGTTATCTCAGGATTAATTATCCTGGAATTAGTTATCCCCACCCTCCCATAAGGATAAAAAAATACTACAATCCCGGGATAACTTGATTATACCACGATTTTATCCTATCAAACATGGGATTATAAACTCATCTCAGATATAATCCATGGATTAATTATTCCTTATTACTCGTACCAAACGAGCCATTAAGGAATGATAATTTTTTACTATTTTGCATAGTCCAAGGAAGATCTAAACGTTTTGTCAAAGTTGTATCATTTTACATAGCTCCCGTTTGGCCATAGATTTCGGTTTTATTTTTTCAATTTTTTTTTTAAAACATTGCTTGTTTATAAAATATGATCATGTTTTGGGATAAAAAGTTTCAAAAATTTCCAAGTTCTCAACAACTGGTTTAGGGCAATTTTTTGATGAAAACTTTTCATCCACTCACAAAATGTCAACTTTTCTTCAAATAAAATGCATGTCCAAATACAACTTCAAAAACTCTTTTTTAAATTTTCAATCAAATCTATGTCCAAACGCTAGTATAGTCCAATGACAAATTTAAACCTTTTTAATTGAAAAGCTACTCAAGTCACCATTGGAACGTATACCATATACAAAAAATGATTTAGCGACCTTCAGATCAAATTTGAAACGCAAATTCTATATCTTCAATTTAAAATCAAATTACATAGACTCTTTTCTGCAAAAACTCTGTTCTTCGATATTTTTCCTTAAGCCACTAATAAAAAAAAGACAAAATCGTCAACAAATTCGAATCAAATTGTAGAAATCAGTTCTGCAAAAGCTCAGTTCGTCGACATTCTCTCTACATCTCTCTCTATTTCTCAATCGCAAATTTCAGTAATACAAAACAAGTGAAAAGAGAGCAGCAATTCCACCATTGACAGCCATTAAAAAGCTTGAAAGCTTTGAATTCAAATTTGGTTTTTCAAAAATCATTATTTGTTTGGATTGAGTGTTGTTGAAAATAATCGGGAATATGGTTTGGAGTTTATATCTCAATTTTGAGGGGTTTTGGTGAAGATTAGACTTGGTTTTGACTGAATTTCAGATTGAAACTCGAAGAAGAAGAAGAAGAAGACATATTGCAGAAATTGTAGATAAATTGTAGATTATTTGTATTCTGATTGTAGATGCTTTATTTTTTGTTTTCACAAATAAAAAACGGCTAAAACTTCTACATATCTTCTGAAAAAACGCAATTATGTCAAAAATTTCAATTATGCTACAATTGAATGGGAATTGGGATATAAAAATTCAATGTACCCAGTTTGTAGATATTTTGTAGATAAATTATAGATTATTGGTATTCTAATTGTAGATGCTTTGTTTTCTGTTTTCACAAATCAAAAACGACTAAAACTTCTACAAATCTTCTGCAAAAAACGCAATTATGTCGAAAATCCCAATTAAATTACAATCGAATGGGAATTGGGATATTAAAATTCAATATACCCAGTTTGTAGATATTTTGTAGATGAATTATAGATTATTTGTATTCTGATTGTAGATGCAATGTTTTCTGTTTTCACAAATCCAAAACGACTAAAACTTCTACAAAATCTTTTGCAAAAAACGCAATTATGTCGAAAATACCAATTAAGCTATAATTGAATGAGAGTTGGATATTAAAATTCAATGCGACTAAAACTTCTATAAAATCTTCTGCAAAAAACGCAATTATGTCGAAAATTCCATTTATGAGATTGGACGAATCTTTATGATTTAAGAAGTATAAATTGAAATAACAGATGGAGCTAAGTTAAAGCTTGTGACAACTTGTACATATAATGTGCAAAAATCTCCAACGCAAAAGAAGAGTGTCAGTGTTAATATGTTATCCTTCAGTTGTTTATCAGTGAGTTTGTCATCGTCATTTCCTTCTGTTGCATGCTTCTTTACCAGGGATTGCAAGAAATCTTGTTTCAAGCTTTTCCCACTTCTCCGTTGGTCAATTATCGAGTCTAACATAGCATACATTCGATCACGAGCCTGCAGTTTACAAACAGTCATCTCATTTGTTTGTCCATCAATCCTAATCTGCATATACTGTTGAAAATTTGTTACCTGAATGCCACAATAAAATGCAGTTCCCGGGACCTTAAAGGGTAAAGAAGAAAAAGAGGAAGAAATACGGTAAAACGTGGGTGAGGGTGAGGGTTTGGGAGAGAGAAACGTGGGAGGGATGGGATATAGGGTACCTTGATTAAGGAGGGATATACGCTGCATTAATTGTACTCTTAAAATACACTATGGTATAGAATTGGTAATTTGGTATACTAAATGTAATTATATCAAATCTTAAACATTGAGGGTAATAAGGTTTCCTATATGGTATAGGAATGTAAAAATTCCTAAGGCAATAGATTAATAAAGGGTATTTTTAAGACAAATTGAACACAATAAAAAGGGCATTATTGCAATTTAGCCATTTTTCAGTATGGTGTCGCCTTTTCGATTTCACCATTTAATTAAGCGTGAACTTTATATATTCTTCTCTTTTCAGTTTCTTCCAATTTGAGAAGTGAGTAGTTCACAGTTCATCTTCATCATCAGGTTCATATTTTCCTCTCTTTATTTCTCCTCGTTTAACTTATTACTGTTTTCTTCATTGTTAACACAGAACTCATGTGCTTTTTTTATATGGTTCTGGGGTTCTATAGAATTTTGAAATCAAGATTGTATTTTTATTTTCTGGGTATAGTTAAATCTGCTGAAATTGAACTGGGTTTTGCTTAAAACTTGGTGGGGTTAACGTTATCATGGATGTAGCATATTCTTCGGTGTGGATTTTGCATAGTTTTCTCAGCAACGTACTGTTGTCTCACTCTATATATACATATACACACATTCTTTTATAGAAAAATACAATACATATATTTAGTAAAAAAAATTCGACAAAGTGGTGTTAGATGACACCGGCCCCTTCTAGGCCGTGGCAAAGGACTAAGTAGTGTCATATGAAACAGCCTGTTGCAGGTAGGCTGCGTACGATGAAAAGTTTCACTTTATGAAATGACTTATTTGACGTGATCGCATCGTTACCCTTTTTTTCTCTCATTTTGCCTTTCCTTATTATTAAATAATCCTATTTTATTATTTACCCTACCTTTTTATATAATAATTAATTCTATCTTTTGCAGGTTACTTTTTCTTTATAATATTGCAAGTTTATCCTTCATATTGTTGGTGTATTTTCTACACAATTTTAGTAGTTGTCCACTGGCTACCACTGCTATATATGCAACTTTTCTTTATTATTCAATATGCGATAAATTCAAGTGAGTCATTGTATTTATTTTTTAGTTGTATGTGTTGTTGAACATCTTAGACACATAATCTTAACCGTCCATCTATTTTTTTTTCTCAATCATTTAAAAGATAATTGCTCATCTAGATTGTGATTTCTTACTTTTAAATTCAAATAGGTCAAATTTTTAATAGTTTTACTACTTGTATATTACTTCGTCATTTCATTTTATATGGCAATATTTCTTTATTAGTCTCTTTAAGAAAGAAGAGTAAATTCCACTTAAACCCCTTAAACTTTAATGGTAAAAACTTATTTACACCAAGCCAATAGATATATGACATGTGTCTTGCATATGGATTTCAATCATTTAACCATAGTAAATTATATGCATTCTCATCTAATTAAATTAGTTAACCATAGTGAGTTAATATAGTTTGGTGTAAACACCCAGTGTGGGTAAGTATTTACCAACTTTAATTGTTGGAAAATAATACTACCTTCACCTTTTATGGAAAAGATAATCCATTTGAGCAACAATTTTCGATTATGGTGCAATATTTACAAGGCTGAAATTGAATTTGGACAATATTATTCTTGCAAGCTTTAGTGTTACGATTCCACATCTCAGAAAAATTCTCACTCAAAACACGAAGAGAGAAACTCAGGCTAAAGGTCAATTGCTCTTAAATCTATACCTGTATAGTCAGAACATAACCCATTACTTTTTGCAGCTCTTATATAATCCTATACACAAGCTCAATCAAACTCTACCGCAGATAAAAGCCTGGTAATTAAGCAGAGAAGAGTAGAGGGGCCAGCCTATTATCGAGTGAGTTTCGAACCGTGCATTCCTGGCCCTTTAATTCAGTATGGTATTTTATATTTAATTAATGTCACGTGTTTTGGAGTTTTTTCTGTTTTTCAAGCCAAAATGAAGTATATTGTTCTAGAACACGCACTTCAAAATATCTATTATGCTATAAAATAGTCATATATAGTGAAAAAATTATTGTAAGTGTGGATAAAAAGTAAAAATAACAACCTAAAAAGAGTTGAAAAATTAATTTGGGACAGTGCATATGTTAAGAATTCAAATGCTTTTTCAGCTTCCCCTATTCGAAAGTAATTAAGGCTTCATTTATTGATATCGGATATCTCAATGGTCATTCTTTTCTAGTAACGTAAAAGGTTCTTTCATTCTTTTAAATAGTTTAACGAAAATCGAGATGGAATTAAGAGCAAACAATGAACCAAATCTCAATGTTGTTTACATGGGTATATATATGTGTGCATACATTTTCTTGTACTAACAATTCATAGGTGTTAAAGAAGAGAAATATGAGTTAATTCAATTTGAGTGCAGCCTCTCTATCCTCACAAGGTAGGGTTAAGTTCTTCGTACTCATTATCCTCCCCAGACCCTACAGTGTGCATCCTTTCTTCTCTGATCTTTCAGTGTAGCATATATCTTGATTCGATAATGTTAATTGCAGCTATATATGTTCAGATAGTCTGGAGATACTTACATTTTTATTATTGTTTGTTTTCTGCAGATTTTTATAGGTGATTTGTGTTCATTAATGATGCCTCATAAGGATAAAAAGCATGGTTATCAAAGTTTATCTCTAGATATACTCAGCAACCTTCCGGGAGAGGTAACTGACGCGATTCTTATACGATTACCTTTACGAGATGCGGTGAGAACAAGCATCTTATCAAAGAAATGGCGGTATACGTGGTGCACACTTCCAGAATTGACGCTTGATGTTCAAACGCTTTTGAGAAATGATGCCATACTCACTACATTTAAATTTACCAACATTGTCTGCCACCTTTTAACCCTCCACGCTGGACCAATTAATAAGTTTACCCTCTGCTGTGATGACCTGAAAGTGTGTCCTGCAATTGATAACTTGATATATTTCTCTAGGAATAACATTCAGCATCTTGTTCTTAGATTTCGGTCGGTTAACCAATACAAATTGCCTTCTTCACTTTTTAAATGTGTGCATTTGAGGCATCTGACTCTCTTATGTTGTTTTATAATTCCTCCACCATCTTTCAAAGGATTCGATAGGCTAATTAGCCTTGAACTACAAAGCGTAATAGTTTCTTCCAAGTTGCTTGAAAGTTTAATCTCTAATTGCTCGCTGCTCGAGTGATTGGTGCTGACATACTTAGAAATTTCAGATGTTATTAAAATTAAAGCTCCAATGCTGAGATATTTTTATTTCAATGGCGATATAAGATACATTTGCTTAAAAAATATGCCTCTGCTGGCAAAAAATTTTTCTTTTGGGTAATGGTACTGCGAAGATGGCAAAAGGTAATATTGCCAAGTTCTTTGAGTCTTTCTCTGCTCTCGAGCATCTCCACTTGAATGGCAATAGTCTCAAGGTAATTGTGCTTTATTGTTTCATTCTAATGCATTTTCATATATACGTTTTTTGGACTTTATTTTGAGTCAGTCTAATAAACTTTTACATGTTGTTCTTAGTTCTTTGCCACAGGTGAAGTACCTATAAGGCTTCCCTTTTATCTCAACACTGTCAAAAGCCTTAAACTATCTGCAATTGTTTTTGATGAATTGGATGAGGTCTCATGTACTCTTTGCCTGATCAGAAGTTTCCCGTATTTAGAAAATTTGAAAATTCAGGTTCTTAATCGTTTGACTCTTCATTCTCTTTCTTATGTAGTTGCTTATTTCTTGGTGTAACTAGTAAAGTTGCTCCCACGTGACCAGGAGGTCACGGGTTCAAGCCGTGAAAACAGCCTCTTGCACAAAATGTAGGGTAAGGCTGCACACAATAGACCCTTGTGGTCCGGTCCTTCCCCAAAACTCGCGCATAGCGGTAGCTTTGTGCACCGAGCTTTCCTTTTATAGTTTTTATCCTCTATAAATTGAGTATAATGGTAATCCTTTTTAGGTGTTCGCTTATAAGGAGAATATTCCCGCTGTCGAATGTCTTTTAGTGGAAGGTTTCTCAAGTGTGACATTTAGTTGCCTCAGGGAAGTTAAGTTAAAAGGTGATCCAGCCACAAAGCCTGGGATGCAGTTTATCAAGCTTTTGTTAGCCAAGTCAACCGCGTTAGTGAGAATGCTGATTAAGTGCCGGATAGAAGATGATGGTGATGGTGATGGTGGCGATGATGAGGTTCTTCACAAAACAAACCCTATGATCACCTTTATAAATGAATTTCCGCGTGCATCACCTAAAGCAGAAATTATCGTTGATATTACGTATTGTTAGGTCGTGACATCCTGAAATTAGACTTGCGACATGATTGAACTGATGTTTGTTTATTTCAAAGTTAAATTGTGAGTTGCTTTGTGTTAATTTTCTACTTGGTCATTTCCCTATGGCTAACGTAGATCCATGGAGATTTGATGTTAATTTTCTTTTTGGCCATTTCCCTATGGCAAATAGTTGGACCAAGTTAATTGGAACTATATCATTTTGATTTAATGGCTTTGGAGTAGGCTGAAGCATTCTATTTCTATTGACTCATTCTAGTTAGACTAGAGTAAGAACCGTTTGGCCTAACTGCCAAAATTTGTTTATTTTGAAAAATACTTTTTTCAGAAGTACTTTTTTAAAAAATATTTTTAAAAAAAATATATTTGTGTTTGGCCAATTCAATTAAGATTTTTTTGCACCATATGGTAAATAAATTGTGTTTGGTCAATCTTTCTAAAACATGCTTTTGAATGCCAAATTACCAAAAAGGATAGTGCTAAGGTCTTATAATTCTTTTAAATAGAAAAATAAACGTAAATATTTATCGTAAGAGACTTTTATAATTTTTTATTTATTTGATTAAAATATAAAACATAAAGTAAACAAACATATTAAAGATTTGAATAAATCTATACTAAATCATATGATATTATCTAGTATAATTACCTATTGTTTATGATGATTTGAATAATTAAAATAACATCATTCAGTATAAATTTGAAGTCTATTCACAAATTACTATATATTGATAATCCAGCATGAAATAATAAGTAAAGTCACTCACACATGATAATATTTTTAACAATTTAATCTCTACTTCTATCACACAGTCCCTTCATATTAGTAGAAGACTTGTCTCGCATTTCTAAAGGAATATGAGAATGCGTATCTCCTTCATCAATCTCTGCAGTAGTGTCAAACTTGAAAGATGGCACTGAGCGTAAAATAGAAATAATTTTAAATATATAAAAGAAGACCGTAAAAGAAATAATTAAGTATGTTTAAATTCTAAGAGTAACTAATTATTAACAACACATAATGTATAGTTTATTCTTTTAAAAAAATTTACATTAAAAAAAACTAATTATTACCTAACCTTGCTAACTTTGTCCTAAAATGCCAAGTGACCTATTGCGAGGCTGCCACTTGACTTAATCTGGATGTATTTTCTTCTTCTTTTAATAGTATATAGATAGATTATGCAATGCAATTGATAATTATTTAAAGATTCGGAAACTAATAGCATATAATAGAAGAAATTATAAATGATTATTTGTGGAAAGAGAATTGATAATCCAAAGAAAGATTTGCTTTAGTGTGAAAAAGGAAGAAGATAGTTTAGAAAGTTACAAGATATTACACAAAGAAAAAATCAAAACAAGAAAGTCAATAAAATGTTGGAAAGTCACAATATGATTCATATATATATTATAATATATATATATATATATATAATATAATTATTAAAATGAAAAGAAAAAACTTAAATTAGTAAGGGATAATTTGAAAAATATAAATTTATGGTGAGGATAGTTTTGTCTTGAATAAATTAATTTTCTACTTCTGCTTCTGCTGCTTGGAAGAAGCTAGAATTTTGTGCTTCTTCCCAAAATCGGAAAAGCTGCTTCTGCTACTGGCTAAAAGTACTTCTTTGTATTGGCCAAACAGCTCAAATTTTTCAAAAAGTACTTTTTTGGAGAAAAAAGTATTTTTGGCCTCCCAGAAGCTTGGCCAAACAGACTCTAAGATCAGTAAGTTCAAAATTAATTCTTGATGATAATGTGTATACACAATTGGTCTACACCGCTTGAAAAAATAATTTGATGTGTTCACTTAAAATTTCCGAGTTAAATTGTACCCAAATCCGTGTACAAGATTAGTTGTACACTTAGAGAAGGTGTTGGGGAAGGCGGTGATGAGGTGGCATACCACATAATGTTCACCTCAACCAAAGTATAACAATAAGGTATATTATGATGAACATCTTACAATCCTTCGGGATTTACGAAGGCTCGAACCTGCGGCTTCCGCCAACGAGCAAAGGTGATCGCTCAAGAAAGGAGATTCAACCCTCGCGAAAGCTATTAAAAAGGGAAAATCTCATAAAATACTAGTAGTTGACACGATATGTGGTATAATTTTGCACTTTCAGGTTCAGATAATTTAACAATTTTAGCTACAAATATAATAAGAGATGGCATTGTACTTATGAATTAGTAATACAAAAACTAAAAAAGAAAACAAGCGAAAGGAGAAAGAAAGAAAACGGAAAAATACAGACATGATGAGGCATGAGCTTACGAGTTACGATCGGTCTCAAGTCTGAGCCGAATCGAATCGCATATCAACTTTAGCGTTTGCTTCTAACATACCTTTAGGGCTCGTTTGGTATGAGGAATAAGGAATAATTAATACCGGAATTAAATTTAAGAAGAGTTTAACTCATGTTTGGTTGGCATAAAATTGCGGTATAATTAATCACAGGATTAGTTATCCCGGGATTATAGTGTTTTTTTATCCCCATGAAAAGGTGGAATAACTAAACCCGAAATAATTAATCCTGAGATAATTTCTTTCTAACCAAACCACCCCTTAGAAAATATAAATATTTTCTCAGTGAATGGATTGATTAAGAAAAACTATAACTATTACTAATAAGTTTAATTTAATAATGAAATTATATGTCGTTAAATTATGTAATATTCTAGCACAAATTAGAAACAATTCGGATGGATTTTGTTAAAAATGAACATATTGATTAGTGTAAATTTCCAGTTTGATACTTTACAAGAACTTAAAATTTAAAAAAAGAACAAAAAAACATTACAATAAAGTTCTACCTCGTATAAAACTTGATAAGCTTTGTGATATAGAAAATCTCAATGGTCATTCCTTTTCGGTAAGCTCAGAAGTTTTCCTTTTCCCTTTGTATACTTATGGAAACTCGAGATGGAATTAAGAGCGATGAGAATCAAATAGTTAAAAGATAATGTGATTCTCCTTTATATTCTTTTTATTTCCCTTTTCGAATCACAAATCTGCTATTCCCTTGAATTTATACCTCGTGATGTACTTAACAACCTTGCTGACAATGTAATTGATGTCATTATGGTATATTCGCCATAAAAACTTTTGAAACATGTGATCCGAAACCTGTCATAGTCTTCCCTTCTTTATTAAATTTTATGTCAAGTCAAACTAAAACAATTTTTTTGAAACAGAGAGAGAGTGTGTATGTGTTATTTGTATGTAATGATTTCCTTATTTTTCGTACTCGTTATAGATCTTCAGTTAAGTTCACAGTTTCTTAATCTTTCTTAGGTGGATGCTTCTTGCCGTCCGGATGAATTGCTTGATCCAGTGACCAGTAATGATGTGAATGAAATTCCTACAAGCTTCTCAGATTTCTAGCATTATAATGTCGAAATAATAATATAATTGAGCATAATATTCAAGAATATGTTATGTATATTATAAAAATACTTTTATTTTAAATAATTACTTTCTATAGTACGTGCATGGAATATATATTTTAAAACTTTATTTTCTTTCATTCTCAATTATGTAAATAATTTTTTGAGGTTTTTTTTGTTAATATCAAAATTATTATTACAAACAAATTGTTCTAATTAGCTTTCTACCTACTATGCTCAATATTTTATTATTCCAACACTATATATGCTTACAGTGGCGGATCCACTTGGGCACTTGTGGGTGCTTAAGCACCCATTAACTTTGATCATATTTAGTAAATTTATAGGCAATTATAAAAATATTTAGATAAATATTGAGTGAGCATCCACAAGTAATTTTATTTTTTCTCTTCTTTTGGAGTTTTTATCGGGAAGTAACCATAACTTTAAAATCCTGGATCCGCACTGTATGCTTAAATACTATTTTAATTTTATTAATTATAAATAAAATTTATTTATTCTAATGTAAGTCCATAATATAAATTAAAAGAGAAAAAACTACTAAATTAAAAAGCTAAAAAAAATAAAAAGAAGATAAAAGTTGATAATTTAGAGGGTAAAATAGGTATTTGGCGATCAAATGAGAAATCTAGTTGAGTGACCGTCTGAGTGCTATTGGCATAGTTAAGTGATTTTATTGTTATAAACAAATTTTAATAGATAATTTTGAGTAGTTGAGTAACCATCTACGTAACGGACTCTTAAAATCCTTATCGTCCTCTTTGGTATTAGTGCAAGTGCTTTTGAAGTTAAGGTGAATAAAGAGAAATAAACGTGGATGCAGTACTGTATGGTTGCTTTTGAAGTTAAGGTGAATAAAGAGAAATAAACGTGGATGCAGTACTGTATGGTTGTGTTTGCGTGCCTTAAGGCAGAGAATAGACTCGATTTCTATTTGTTTGTTTAAACTGAAAAGGGTCAAAACCGCCCCTAACGTATTCGCTTAAGTTTAAAAATATCTTTCGTTCACCTATTTTGTAAAAATTGCCTTCACCGTTAAAAATTTGGCCCATTCATGCCCCTAACGTCAACTTTTTGGCCCGCTCATACCCTAAAAACTAACAGCCCTATTTTGATTAAGAAAAAAATTTATTATTTATTATGTGTTAATTTCCTATTGGCTTAAATTAAAATCTCACCCCATATCCACTTATTAGTCTACTCCGTCTTAGATTTTCACATTTCAACACCCATGGATCTCCCTCTCCATCTCAGATTTTTCGGCCTTAATTTAATTTTTAAATTAACATTTTTTATTAAATCAATTTGCTGAGTGAAATTCAGGTACTCTTTGAAATTAATACCATTCATCATCAAATTTTCTTACTACACTTTACTGCTTCATACAATAAGCTCAATCAAGTGTTTATTACAGTCACATTCACCAATAAGTCGTATTCTCTCATATTCTTAGGCATATGATCTCAAATATTTCTCTTGATTTAACTGTCTCTTTTTTAAAATTGGCGGTGTTGATATAACCTGAAGAACATCCTCGTACAATAGCTTAATTTATGGACATGGTCGGATGTTCAGACTATGGTGAGCCAATGAAGAAGAAAAAGGTCGAGGTCCGGCAGAAACCAAATAAAACATTGGTATAATCAAAATTGGATGCGGAGTTGTCAGGAAATATACAACAAAAAACATTTCAAATGCTCAATGATCATTACTATTGACACTCTGTTAGTGTTCATATATTCAGGTGAAAGTTGTATGACGTAAAGTATTGGTGACTAAAAA